TACCTTAATCCTAGAAAACATTGGTTCTATATATATTCATCAGTATTCACGTCTTTGCTTTAGACATTTCTATCATTTGTTACCGAGGTGGGAGCAGGGGGGGGGGTTACAGATTGGAGAGAAGAGGGGTATAGGATGGAGAAGGTGGGGCGGGAGGGGGGGTTATAGGACGGAGAAGGGCCGGGGGGCTGTAGGACCAAAACAAAGATTAATACTTTAATAATGACTTTTCGTTCGATGGTGTTAAATAAAGATGAATAGTTTTCTTGATTAGAAAACCTAAACTTTTAGTTTTCTTGAGTATACCCAAACTTCTAGTTTTCTTGAGTCGATTCTCTGAACTTCTAGATGTCTTAAGTATACTACCTAAACTTCTAGTTTACTAGTATAGATTACCCAAGCTTCTAGTTTTCTTGAGTAAATTACCTAAACTTCTAGTATTCTTGAGTAGATTACCCAAACTTCTAGTTTTCTTGAGTATATTACCCAAACTTCTAGTTTTCATGAGTAGATTACCTAAATGTCTAGTTTACTTGAGTAGATTACCCAATTCTCTTTTTTTCTTGAGTATATTACCTAAATGTTTAGTTTTCTTGAGTAGATAGCCGCACAATTCTAGTTTTCTTGAGTGGATTTTCAAAGTCAAGTTTTTTTTTCTTAAGTAGATGGCATAAACTTCTAGTTTTCTAGAGTAGATTACCAAAACGTCTGTTTCCCTGAGTAAATTACCTAAATCTTTAGTTTTCTTGAGTAGATAACTTGGATCCTATAGTTAGACTAACTTAATCTCTAGTTTTCTTGAGTAGATTACCTAAATCTCTTATTAATCTTAAGCTTCTTATTTGCTTGACATAGACTAGTGTTGAATGTCCGAGTTAAGTTTGAATATGTGAACCCTGTGACCGAACAAAGAAGTTTGTTTACTTCTTGTTAACCATTGTATGCATGGTCACTCTGCCACTAATTGGGGTCACGTGATCTTTGTTAGGAAGGGGGCGGGGGTAGATTATTCAATAAAAAATTGGTAAAAGTGGCAAGTCATTGTGTGAAATTTTGGAAGACATATTATGGATCGCTGCTTTAGAAAATGTTTTTAAGGATATCGTAACTAATTAAAAATAACCTAATCTTCTTTAATAAAAAGACATGTTTATGTCAAAAAAACCCCTTAGTTTAAAAAAAACATTGGTAGGTTTCTAGTAGATTAAGTTAGCAAAAGCCAGAACTTTTGATCAAGAATTGATCCTCAAATCCTAAAAAAAATTCTTTCCAGGCGATAGAACGCCGTACTCATTTATAAATATTAAACTATTATTTACTTCCTTAATTCTTCGATTTTTATATTTCATGGGTCGTGTCATCTTTTTTTTTATAATGACATCCACGAAATATTGAAGACAATTTCAATGTCGATCCTTATTGGCCACGTTTAGTTGTTTTAATTTTTGAAAGATATTCAGATTGTGTTTTCTTAAATTTTGTAATGAAAATAAGATAGAAAATTAAAGGGAGTGTTCGCGAAAATTGAAAAGGGGGTATAGGCTTAAGGCGAAAAATAAGCGCTTTTACTCGCTACTAATCTTACTTCTATCTGTTGCATCTATCTGGAGAATATTGTTAAAAACGACCCATGCTGAAGAACGTAGCGTCTATACAAATTTAGAAAGTTGCAACATTCAACTCGGATCGTAAAATAATCAATTTAATTCCAAACAAATCATTCAGATATTACAACCAATAGTCATCGATCTTTTTTCGACGCATTCGAATATAGTTAATATTTTAATTTTCCCCTCACAGACGCAACAAGTAGAAGTAAGATTAGAAGCGATCAAAAGCGCTTATTTTTCACCGTAAGCTTTTACCCCCTTTTATTTTTCGCGAACAACCCCTTTAAGGCTTCTAAATTTTGAAATTCGACATTCTTTTCTAGACAACACATTTCAATTTCGACAATTTTATTTTACATATTTAACATTCTGTTCGTTCATTCTAATAAAACACTCGTGATTTTGGTAATTTTTATATTAGGAACAATTTTAGGTTTTTTTATTATATAGTGTTCATTGTTCATTCACATCAACTATAGTAAATTGTACATCAGATTTAAATCTAATAGATTTTTAATTTACTCCTTGAGATAGTGATAAAAACTAAAAATGTTTTGATTTGCTAATGTGTAAACTGATTTTGATTTGATTAAACTTTTGCTTAAAATTGAAATCATACGAGCTACGAGGTCACAAAGTCGTACAAATGATGTCGAATATATTTGATCTTCTCCTTCTATGAATCTAGATCAGTGCATTATTCTTACTCCGCCGGGGCTTAAAAATCCACCGACGCTTTCATTCTTATTTCCCTTCGATTTAAAATTCAGTGATGGTGATGGACCAAACCTCTGTAGAGTAAAAAGTAGATGTTAGTTATTTCCCTTCGTTTCCTTTGAGCTCCAATTCACCATAGTTTCAGTAGAAGTAAATATTTCCATTTACTGCAGATAGCGCCGATTGAATGATTCATAACTCTGATTGGATAATGAGAAAGATAGAAAAATAGATATTACCGCCATACTATTTCTATTGGTTCAGAATAGACAACAAACACATGACTGAACCCTTATTGGATCAGGCGCTAATGGACTCGGCATACAGGAGTGAATTGACAAATAATTTTGTTAGATAGGTCGGAGTTTAGAGAAAAAGGTAACTTATGACGTTCCATTTGAAGTATCATTGTTATTCAATTTTATATACGAACCTTTGGATAAATGATTTTAATTGTTCAAATTATAGTCTGAATTTCGGTTTCAAACAGAATTCAAAGTTTAAAATATCAAAAATAAACGACATCAGGTTGCAAAGTTAAAGGGAGTATAAAATCAGAGTTTGTGGCAAAGCTCAATTCCTTACAACCTGTTACATAAAGTTGATCTATTCAATAAATAAACTCGTAAAAGTGCGGAGCTGTGTGTGTATTGTATTGAATAAACACACAAAGAATGACCAATGAACGTTGAGCGACACTGTCATGAATAATTAATGGCGGCATTTATTATTATTATTTTTATCATTATATTCTTTTATAAACACGTTACGAGGGGTTAGTTGTTAACCGCACCTCTCTCAATACTAACCTTAACACTTAAAATACTTTCAATAATTTTCAATAATTAAAATTGAATAAAAAGCATTTAAATTGAAAACAGAAGAACAAAAATATTGACATTAAAACTGGTCCAGCTCATGAGCTAAACCTGATTTTTTACAAAATTTGAATCTTAGTTTTCTTTAAAGTTTTGGAGTAACAACCTACGATGAGACGAATGGGTAAGAGGTTTTTATGATTACTACCTATTTTGGCAAAAATTTCCATTTCACCTATAAATCGTGTGGCGGAATGCTATGCAAACGTCCCTTGGGATGTAAATCTTTATGAAAATCTAAACCTAAGACCTATTTTTTTCAAAAATAAATTTTAAAAATGGCTTACGCAAAAAATAGCATTTTTTAAATTGATTATTTTTGCTGTTCAGGTCGTTGCCTGCCTTCCTCTGTTCCTTGTTTAGGTTTGTTTAATTAGATTAATCTTAAAAAGGATGTTTTGCGGGTTTTTAAATTGGTGATATTCAGTGATCATCGACGTTTAAAAAAGTTAATACCAAATATCTTAATTTAATTTTGAATACGATGAATCATCGTATTCAAAATTAAATTAAGATATTTGGTATTAACCTTTTTAAACTGATCATAGATCGGAACTTTTGTGCGGAAAATGTTAATATTGAACGCTTGATCTCGATATCTAATATGGTCACTATTAAATTTGAGGACCAAAGCTTGATTCATCATTTAAAGTTATCACAAGAGAAGTGAGAGGAATTGAATAAATTCACGTAGGTCTATGTATACAGAAGATGGAGATCAATTCTTAATCCCGAGATCTACAACTCTAAAGTTCTGACTTCTGGCTAGTTTGGGCAGAAAAATATAAACGTTTCAAAAATTGTAATTTAACCTTGAACAGTTTAAAACTATTTGCGTGTACACTGTACTGTGATTCTATGTTTATATTATTTAAGTTTGTGGAGATAAATCATATGGAAAACATTACGGAGTGTACTGCTGTGATGGATGTTCTTGCTTCTTTAAGAGATCAGTTAGGAGACGAATCATCTACACTTGTACATGTAAGTTAGTCAACTGTACATAAGATCTACACTTTTATGTGTTGGTCCTACATTAGTACATTGAAGCTCGAAACTTATACACGTGTTATAATTTTAGATCTGTATGTACAATTGTACATGCATAAAAACATTTGTTTTAATCATAGATTAAAAACCCAAATATTTTAGGTACTTCATTACTCATTTTATCTAATCGTGTATAATTGTACAGCAGGATTTGGTCGGTGTACTGTAGATAAGTGTAGAAGGAACTGGTGTCCAGCCTGTAGACTGGAAAAATGTTTTAATGTACAGATGAATCCGTTAGGTGGGTATTTATGTACAACACTATACATACATTGTTGATCATAACTCTACAAAATGAACTGTTTAAAATAAAATGAAAACTATTTGTTTAGCTGTACAGCAGGAGAGGGGGCCTAGAAAACTTATTTCTTCAAAAAAAGAAAACCAATCTCACCTCTCCTTATTCCAACATAATCCGTCCTACCTCCCTCCTTCCGTCCTAGTACCTGTACTGGACCCGGAGCAAGATAATCCACTGACTAAACCCATCCAGCTCCTGGTTCTACTTCTCTCTGATCTGCAGCGGAGTATGCTATCCCGGAGACAAGGATTCAATTTGGAAGCATTCAGACAAGTTTGGCCGGGACTCTATGTGTTAAGGGTAAAGAGTCTTATTTTAGCACTGAAGGGAATGCTTACGTACTTGCAGGCGACTTTTAAATGATAAAAGTAAAAAGTTTCTAAATGTTCATATATTTCTTTTTTAAAGCCAAGATAAAAATAACCTAACTGTAATTTTTATGGAATGAAGGTCTAGATTATTTTTGTAAAGTTTTAAATTGGTGATTGTAGCCATTCACTGAAAAGTCCATAATTATTCAGTAAACACTAATAATTCAATCATTATATTGTGATTGTTTCTAGATTGCTACCTGCACTAGCACTCCAACCTGTACCAAGTTGCATCTTCATCCAGGAAAAGTAAAATCTGAACCTGGATTTCCCTGCTGTTATCTGGACCTGGAGATACGAAATCTTAACTTGGATCCTACAGAGATTTTACTCATGGAGCTAGTTCTTCTTGACAGGGCAGGTAACAACAAGTTTTTAGAAAAAATTTAAATTGTTTAAATTGTTTTTCATTTAGAGAAGATTTTGTTCCCTGAGTATCTTCCCTCGTTAGTTAACTATGTCACTGCCAAGGTTGGAAGAAACTCAGGTAAACGGAGAAGAAGGGATAAAGTATAACCAAGGTTGGAAGAAACTCAGGTAAACGGAGAAATAGGGGATAAAGTACCAAGGTTGGAAGAAACTCAGGTAAACGGAGAAGAAGGGATAAAGTGCCATGGTTGGAAGAAACTCAGGTAAACGGAGAAATAGGGGATAAAGTACCAAGGTTAAAAGAAACTCAGGTAAACGGAGAAGAAGGGATAAAGTACCAAGGTTAGACGGGTTAGAATAGAGGTGGATATTGAGCATAAATATTTTTTTGTAGCTCTGTACACGCACATTTTAGAACTCTAAAGTAATTGGCAAAATTATCATTGAGCTTGCAACCTTTGGTATGGAGAGAATAGGGATGAAGGATACAGGATGAATAATACATACGGAGGAGGGATAGCAGGGAAATGGGATGAATGAGGATCCGAGTAATGAATGACTTGTACTTAAGGTGCTCCTGGCCGCCTTGTTAGCCTACTTCTACTCATCTCTTCTTTATCCAAGGTAACTTTGTAACTTTGTAACTTTGTAAATTAAACAAAGGAGTTGAGTTTTTGCCACAAACTATGATTTTCTAATCTCTATATCTTTGTAACCCAATGCCGTAGACCTTAGATATTTCAAACTTTTAACACTTATAGATAAAATAATCTAAGTTTGAAATATCAAAGGTTTGCACCATAAGGTTGCAAAGATATTGGAATCAAATGATTTTAGTTTGTGGCAAAAACTCAATTCCTTCATGGCTAAAAAAAATTTAGGGTCAGAGCTTGTGTTAAAAAGTTGATGCTTAAATTGTCTAACTGTTTGGATCGCAGAGATATAGCTTTCAACACACAAACCAATTAATGAATGTTATATAGACTTGTAAATTCAATGATACATTTAATGAATCTTTTCTCTTTAGGTCACCGAAGAAGATATTACGAAAGCATATTTTCATGGAAATTCATTTCTTGTTCATGCATACCTTCATAGATATATACAGTAGGTGCCTATTTCATAGATACCCTCCTTAGATTTATACAGTAGGTTCCTAGTTCATAAATATACTCTAAAGATATATACAGTAGGTGCCTAGTTCATAAATATACTCTATAGATATATACAGTAGGTGCCTAGTTCATAAATACCTTCATAGATATATACAGTATAGATGCCTAGTTCATAAATATCTTCTATAGATATATACAGTAGGTGCCTAGTTCATAAATATCCTCTATAGATATATACAGTAGGTGCCTAGTTCATAAATATTCTCTATAGATATATACAGTAGGTGCCTAGTTCATAATTATCCTCTATTGATATATACAGTAGGTGATTAGTTCATAAATATCCTCTATAGATATATATACAGTAGGTGCCATTGTTCATAATTATCCTCTATTGATATATACAGTAGGTCCCTAGTTCATAAATACCTTCATAGATATATACAATATAGATGCCTAGTTCATAAATATCTTCTATAGATATATACAGTAGGTGCCTAGTTCATAAATATCCTCCATAGATGTATACAGTAGATGCCTAGTTCTTAAATATCCTCTATAGATATATACAGTAGGTGCCTAATTCATAAATATCCTTCATAGATATATACAGTAGGTGCCTAATTCATAAATATCCTCCATAGGTATATACAGTAGGTGCCTAGTTCATAAATACCCTCGATAGATATATACAGTAGATGCCTAGTTCATAAATATCCTCTATAGATTTATACAACAGGTTCCTAGTTCATAAATATCCTCTATATATTTATACAGTAGGTTCCTAGTTCATAAATATCCTCCATAGATATATACAGTAGGTGCCTATAAGTTCATAAATATCCTCCATAGATATATACAGTAGGTGCATAGTTCATAAATATCCTCCATAGATATATACAGTAGGTTCCTAGTTCATCAATATCCTCCATAGATATATACAGTAGGTGCCTAGTTCATAAATACCTTCATAGATATATACAGTAGGTGCCTAGTTCATAAATATCCTCCATTGATATATACAGTAGGTTCCTAGTTCATAAATATCTTCTATAGATATATACAGTAGGTGCCTAGTTCATAAATATCCTCCATAGATATATACAGTAGATTCCTAATTCATAAATATCCTCTATAGATTTATACATCAAGTTCCTAGTTCACAAATATCCTCAATAGATTTATACAGCAGGTTCCTAGTTCAGAAATATCTTCATAGATAAACATACAATAGGTTCCTAGTTAAAAAATATCTTCAATAGATTTATACAGCAGGTTCCTAATTCATGAATATCTTCATATATAAATAAACATTAGGTTCCTAGTTCATAAATATCTTCTATAGATATATACAACTGGTTCCTAATTCATAAATATATTAATAGATAAGTATACAATAGATTCCTAGTTCATAAATATCTTCTATAGATACATACAACTGGTTCCTAATTCATAAATATATTAATAGATAAACATACCATAAGTTCCTAGTTCATAAATATCTTCTATAGATATATACAACTGGTTCCTAATTCATAAATATAGTAATAGATAGATAAACATACAATAGTTTCCTAGTTCATAAATATCTTCTATAGATATATACAACTGGTTCCTAATTCATAAATATATTAATAGATAAACATGCAATAGGTTCCTAGTTCATAAATATCTTCTACAGATATTTACAAATAGGTTCCTAGTTCATAAATATCTTCATAGATGTATACAATAGGTTCCTAATTCAGAAATATCTTCATAGATCAATATACAATAGGTTCCTAGTTCATAAATATCCTCTATAGATTTATACAACAGGTTCTTAGTTCATAAATATCTTCATAGATGTATTCAACAGGTTCCTAGTTCAAAAATATCCTCTATAGATTTATACAGTAGGTTCCTAGTTCAGAAATATCCTCTAAAGATTTATACAACATGTTTCTAGTTCATAAATATCCTCTATAGATTTATACAGTAGGTTCCTAGTTCATAAATATCTTCTATAGATTTATACAGTAGGTTCCTAGTTCATAAACATCCTCTATAGATTTATACAGCAGGTTCCTAGTTCATAAACATCCTCTATAGATTTATACAACAGGTTCCATAGTTCATAAATATCTTCATAGATATATACAGTAGGTGCCTAGTTCATAGATACCCTCTAAAGATTTATACAACAGGTTCCTAGTTCATAAATATCCTCCATAGATTTATACAACAGGTTCCTAGTTCATAAATATCTTCTATAGATCGATACAACAGGTTCCTAGTTCATAAATATCCTCTATAGATTTATACAACAGGTTCCTAGTTCATAAATATCCTCTATATATTTATACAGTAGGTTCCTAGTTCATAAATATCCTCTATAGATTTATACAGTAGGTTCCTAGTTCAAAAATATCCTCTATAGATTTATACAACAGGTTCCTAGTTCATAAGCATCCTCTATAGATTTATACAACAGGTTTCTAGTTCATAAGCATCCTCCATAGATTTATACAGTAGGTTTCTAGTTCATAAGCATCCTCCATAGATTGATACAGTAGGTTCCTAGTTCATAAATATCTTCTATAGATTTATGCAGTATGTTCCTAGTTCAAAAATATTCTCTATAGATTTATACAGTAGGTTCCTAGTTCATAAATATCCTCTATAGATTTATACAGTAGGTTCCTAGTTCAAAAACATCCTCTATAGATTGATACAATTAATAGGTCCCTAGTTCAGAATTATCTTCATACAGTGAAATCCTTAATAACGAATACATCGAAAGAATTCATCAAATGTCTTATTCTTCACTTTCTGATAATGGAATGTTGCAGATATTTAGTTTTTTAATTAAATGATTATATGGATCTCTTTAAAACTGTTCCAGCATATTCATGGCTATTTATTTATTTTCGCAAATACTGAAATTTACGTAAAAACTCATTGAAATTTACGTTAAAACTCATTGAAAAATTGTCAAAACGACATTTTATAAATTCTTCCGATGTATTTGTTATTAAGGGTTTCACTGTACATAAATACACACAGGATTCCTAGTTCCATAATGTTTTTAAAGATATATACAAGGTTCCTTTAGTTCATAAATATCTTCATGGATATATACAATAGGCTCCTAGTTCATAAATATCTTCATAATTTTTTTTTAATATTTATCATATTTTATTCATAATTGTTCTTTTTCTTCTGTAAATATGAAAAGTGTGATTTGGTTTATATTTTTCTTTGATTTAAATATTTATATAAATGTAAATGAATTTAAAAATATAGACATTTTTTAAAGTACAAAGGACATTTCGATTTTAATTTAATAATTGTCAATATACCTACGTACGTACGTACGCCATAATACGTGGTTCAAAATAAAAATACAATACACATAGTTCTTAATCTGGTGTGTACTTTACCTTCGATCAAGAAACCTTTTTTTCATTTCTTTTTATTATTATTCTAACTAATAGTTTTCGTTTCTATTTGTGACTTTTAACATCTAATATTCAAGAATTTTATCGACTTTTGAAAATATATGAAATTTTTTTTCTGTATATTATTTTAATTTTTTTCTGTAAAAGTGTAGACTGCACATTTAGTTATTCAAAATGTGGATTAAAAAGTTTTAAGACGGTGCCGCTAGCCTCCTCCTATTGGTTTAACCACACTCTGAATCTGTCCTGTGATTGGTCCTGGTTAATCTAGGTTGGCGGCAGACCGCCTTCACATTGCATGAAAATGGTAAAGTTAGGTTAAGTAAAAGTAAGGTTAATATACCGTGTAATGGAGACTCTAGAGGCATTACATGATTACTATTTAAACTTGAAATTTATTTATTTAAACAAAACAAAGAATCATCATTGTGTTTTCCTAGAAATAGTCACGAAAGATGACATGTTCTACATATTTCTACCTTATACATCGGGATGTTCACAGGATTATTATCCAAGGGGGGGTGCAGGTGGAAGCTTATTAAATGAATTATAAGCTGATTTCTGGCTAACTTGGTTAATAGCACGTGATGAATCTGAGTTCTTATTTCAAACGTGCCAATTTGCTTGTTCAATAGCTCGTGAGAAATAGCCTTTGTAAAAGCAACTCAGAAAGCGGATTTTTTAAAATAATTAATCTTGTTCAAAACTAGTTTGTCTTATAGCACGTGATGAAGCAAAGTTTATTCCAAAACGTGCTGAATAGCTTGATTAATAACGCGGCATAAGTTGACTTTTTAATTTAAAACGTGCTATTAACTACAATTGATGAACATGAATATAATTTTTTACAAAAACGTGCTGACCTGTGTAATATCACGTCCGGATTCTAAAATCTTATTTAAAACGTGTTTGTTTTTACCAGATTTAACGTCTGGAATAAAGTAAAGTGAGGATTGTGAATTAAGTTGTTTGTTTCCCTTGTCTTTGTAGTTTATTGGCTCCAGATTCTATTCACAGGCTTTACATCTTCTATTTATCTTTTACACTGTTCAGTCTTCAAAATAAATTGAAAGTAAATGTCTACATTCTAGGTTAACTGGTAATTAAACAGTTTCATTGATGATTCACAACGGTACCCTTTAAACCCTTGTCGTTTTCCATCTAAAGGTCAACAAAGCTAGACATACGTACCTTGATGATCAGAAAAGAACAAAGAATTGTAAATCGTCAATGATCGTCAATCGTCAATCGTCAATCGTCAATGACACTTTTAAATTTAAGACTCATTTAAATAACGCATGAATCCCTTTAAATAGAATACAAAATATCCTCATTCTATTGATGTATTAAACCAAGGTTTTATGTCAGCTCCAATTCCAGTTTAGAAACCTAGTTGAGGATTAGAACTTTACTAGAAAAGAAAAACAGTTTTAATCAAACTAATATATCCTTGCTTGCCACATAAAGGAATTGAGTCTTTGCCACAAAATTGAATTGTCAAATTCCTATATTTTTGGAACCAGATGGTGTAAGCCTTAGATATTACAAACTTAGATTATTTTATCTAACAGAATTAATAGTTTGAAATATCTAAGGTCTCCGACATTGGGCTGCAATGATATATGGATTAGAAAATTAGTGTTTGTGGCAAAGACTCAATTCCTAGAAGGGGATCATTCATCTAGTGTACTGTACCCGTTGTACTTTGTCTGTACAACTTGCTGTAGCTGGTTTAAAGTCGGTCCGGGATTTGAACTGGAGTTTACAGTGATGCATGGGCTGGCTTTATCTCATTGTAGATAGAAGTAGATCTTTTATAAACAAGATTTGTAATCAAATCATCTAAAAAATGGATTCCAAACAAAATCCAAAATCAGATCTGTAACAAATAACAATTATATTTCATTGCATAATATGTATAACGATGAAAAGTAAAAAGAAAGAATTAGAAGCGGAAGAAGATGGTTGGGATGAGAAAAGACTGTGACTGGGTTGACTTCTCTGGTTCATATTAGTTCTCGTCTTATCAACAGGTTTAACCTTCTCCGGGTTCTGGGTTGGATCGGAGAAGGATTTCCACTCCGGAAGGAGGAACTGTTCGGATTGATTGTCTTGAATTATATCCGGGGTGAATTCTTTTTCTAGAACTATTTCGTATTTGGGTTCACGTCTTTCTAAACATAGAAATATCAAGATTTAAGGGAGTGTTCAGGAAAAATGAAAGGAGGTACAGACTTACGGTGAAAAATAATCGCTCTTGATATAAAACAGATAACAAATATTATGAAATATTAACTTTATAGGAATGCGTCGAAAAATAATCGATGACTGTAAGGTTGTAATATCTGATTTATTTGTTTAAAATTAAAATGAATATTTTACGGTACGAATTGTATATTGCAACTTTCTGATTTGTATGGACGCTACGTTCTTCGTTTTTAACAATTTTCTCCTTATAAATACAACAGATAGAAGTAAGATTCGTAGCGATCAAAAGCGATTATTTTTCGCCGTAAGCCTATACCCCCATTGATTTTTCGCGAACACGCCCTTTAAAGGAACAATGAAAAAATTTTTAATTTCAAGCTTTCATCAAGGTGTCAAGATAAAAATATCAAAGTTTTCCTTACGGAAAATTTACTGGAAAGTAACTGCTTGTAGCTGGTTATCACATTATATGTACCCTAACTACCTTTATTAATTTCTCAACGAACTTATCAGTCCATATTACTAACATGTACTATTAAACCTATCATTAATTTAAATAAGATTAGTTGGACATGAACATTGATTTATTACGTTTAGACATGTATTATTTCTCCTGTAGAGAGCATAGAGTCTGAGAGCGAGTTGTATCTGTACAATACATAATAAGAATACAGAGAGTTTTTAACTGGATTGATACAGACTAAGGTATTATTGTAGAGCATAGAGTCTGAGAGCGAGTTGTATCTGTACAATACATAATAAGAATACAGAGAGTGTTGTATCTGGATTGATAAAGACTAAAGTATTATCGGAGAATATAGAGTTTTAGGGCGGGTTGTATCTGGTTTGATACAGACTTATAAGAACTTGTTGGATCAAATTCATGTTTACAGCTGTTTTAATTATTATAAGAGGAAATATTCAATATTATTGGAAAATTCTTTTCTGTTAGATTACTTAGTTCTCTTTAATCAAACCCTGAACAATCCCTTGGACAAGACAATTTTGAGGATTTATCCCTTTAATGATTTATTTAAATACCTGTAGTGTAAACCCTAATAGTGGAGTCTGCAGATCCTAGAGAATTCGTTCCTTGGCACCTAGGATTCAATATTATTATTATTATTAACATAATAAAACAAGACATTATTTCTATTATTGTCCTCCTACCTATAAGTCCCTGAATGTCTGTCACTGTAGTTATGTATAATAAGTTTAGATGAAAGTCTGTACATAGTTAAACCTCGTTCATGTACAGAATAGTCAGCTTCCTCACCGTGCAGGATCTTTTCTAAAATACATAAAATATACTAGATACATGTACACTGTAGAAACTATCTTTCTAGATGCATGTACACTGTACAGATTGTCTTCCTTGATACATGTACCACGGTACATTCCAGTTCATTTTATGTACTGAACCGAATTTCAACAAGCCAGGGCAAGCGGTACAGTACAAATACAAACTATATTAGGTAAAACGGGACTGTATGCCTGCCTAATGAATGATCCATTTGTAGTGAAATTTATGTGGTACACTGTACACTGTACAGATTATCTTCATTGATACATGTACATGTACAGATTATTTTACTAGATATACAGGGTGGCCGAAAAAATAGGGTTTAGGATTCTTTAGCCCTTTTATCCGTTTAAAAAGACTTGAAAATATCCCCATTAAATAGTTTTTAATTTTCGAAGGAGTCGTTTAATCAACTTCAGCTAACAAATATTGTTTATGAACTAAAAAATTCATTTATATAAATCTGAACCCACTTAGATTTTGATTCTGGGTTTTAGGAATCCAAGGTGTTCGACGTGGTTCTAAAGAACTCTATGGGGAGAAACCTAAAAAGAAAGGTAGCAATCCCGGCCCGTGGTTGCAAACATCTTTGATGGACCTTAAAAATAGGCAATTTTTTGAATGGCATCAATAAAATTGGGGCCTTTTCAAGAAATATTTGAAATGTAACACTTGAGTAATCTTATTAAGTATTCATAAGTATAGTTTCTAAGAAAAATCTAAGTGCGTTCAGATTTTTAAAAATGCATGTACACTTTACACACTATCTTTCAAGATACATGTACAGATTTTCTTCCTTGATACATGTACATTGTATAGATTATCTTCCTTGATACATGTACATTGTACAGCTTATCTTACTTAATCATTGTACAGCTTATCCTACTAAATTATACTTTCCCATGCACGAATACAATTTAAAGATGATTTTTCTTGGAGTCTCATCCTTTTTTGGTAGCCCTGTATGTAAACTTGTATTTTCGGCTGGAGGACTTAATCCTACCTTCTATACTCTAAACTATAAAATCAGCTGGAGGTAATAATCCTACCTTCTATACTCTAAACTATAAAATCAGCTGGAGGTAATAATCCTACCTTCNCTAGAGGAATTAATCCTACCTTCTATACTCCAAACTATAAAAGCTCCTAGAGGAATTAATCCTACCTTCTATACTCCAAACTATAAAAGCAGCTGGATAAGATTCAACTATACACTCCAGGGTTACATCACGTCCAGTTGAGCTCCCCATCAAGCTTAGACCAGGCAGTATTGAAGGGGGAACTAGAATAGATCGGTTAAACTTCTTTATTTAAAAGTTTCCAGCTCAAAGTTGGGAACTTTTAAACAAACAAAATTATTAAAACTAAGTTTCTCCTCTTAATCTAATTAACCAACCTTTCGTTATTCTCTAAAGTGTTAACCAACGAGACCTCGGTTGAACTCCAAACAAAAGGAGTTGATTAACTTATTTAAATCAGTTTCAATCATCCAGATTCATCCATTCAAAAGTTTTTAACTCCAAATAAAAATCAGGAATTAAAAAAAATTGTAGAATTTTATAGTTTTTAACAAAAATCTAACTATTTAAAGAAATTTGAACTTTTAGTTTTTAGATAAAGAAAAAAGAGTGAAGTTTAAAAACCTTCTAAGAATGAATTAAGATTTGAATATTTAAATCTGAGATCAGTTCAATATTTTATTCAGAATCGGAGCTAAGGTTGGGGTTGGGAACACATTGAAGAAAAAGCTTTCACTTTCACTTTCACACAATAGTTGTTTTTATCTTTATAGTTCCTGGAGAGCATGCTGAACCGCGGACCGCTGATTCAAATCCTCATAAATCTTAAACTTTGAATCGTTAGTTAAGGATTTGAAGCGGCGACTGTAGGAAGTTCAATGACCTAGCTCAAATTCATTAAATTTGGCCCCTGATTGTTTTAGTAATGTGTTAAACTTAATTTACGGTATAATTTAAATCTAAATATCTTAATTTTTCAATCTGAAAATTGACGAACTAATTTTAAATAGTTTGCGTCATTTAAAACAACCTGGGATCAAATTTGAGTAAAAGAAAGAAGTAGTCGAACTACGCAGACGACGACGTAGTTGAACCACTTACCTTGTTGAACCACTTCTATTGTGCCTCGGTTCAAGTTGGAAAAAAAGTGGATGAACTAAGTCATTAAATTTGGTCTTAAGATAAAGAATCTTGTTTAATGAACTTACATTGTACATGAAGATTTATTCGTTTCATAAACTTACATTGTACATGAAGATATATTCGTTTAATGAACTTACATTGTACATGAAGATATATTAGTTTCATGAACTTACATTGTACATGAAGATATATTCGTTTCATAAACTTACATTGTACATGAAGATATATTCGTTTAATGAACTTACATTGTGCATGAAGATATATTCGTTTAATGAACTTACATTGTACATGAAGATATATTCGTTTACTAACAGCTGGAGGAACATCATTGCTGGCTATACAGAGATATGCTCCCATGTCTTCTCTTCGAACCCTAGACAAGAACATTATGGTCCTTCCTCATCCCGAGCCAACAAGCTACTCTATCATAGAAAATGAAATTGAGCCTTTGCCACAAGCTCAAATTTTTAATTCTTTTATCTTCGCGACCTGATAATGTAAACCTTTTATATTTCAAACTTAAATTATATAATCTAACGGAATTCATAGTTTGAAATATATAGTTCTATTGCATTGGGGTGCAAAGATATAAGGATTGAAAAATATGAGTTTGTGGCAAAAGTCAATTTTAATACCAAATCCTGGATGGTATTATTTAAAAAGAGGTCCCTTAGAGCTTTGATTCCCACTTTCTTGAGACAATTCTTTGGGCTATCTCATCTTTTTTTTTAATCATATAGGGTTACCCATAAAGAATGAGATTGAAAAGACAACCCGAAAATCTTTAAACATGATGATTCCAAGGTTACATCAAGTCTACTGCCTTAAATATAGTATTTTAATTGCTTTTTAATGATTATGGCAAAGAACGAAACAACAGAGGTAGGGAACCATGAATATGAGAAATCAAACAGTATAAATTCCGTACAGTCGTCTCTGAAGTCTCATCCTATTCCTAAGTGTAAATGTAAAACATTTCGTAGACTTTCTTGTTTAAAAAAGTAAAAGATCACACAATTATTTTGTCAAAGTTTTGTGTAATTGTTAAGAAAAACAAAATCATAACTATTAATTAAACCCCAAAACGACGTCAATTGGATTAAAACTGATTGTCAATAAGAACCCTAAGAGTGTAATAGTCTTTGAAAAATTGTCATTTTTTAAATCTCAACGCAAAATCAAATGAATTATTTAGATATTTTTATATATTACTCAAAACCACAGAGTAGAGAATATAAATAAACCCCCTTTTTCAAATTCTGAAAAGTTAAATGCATGTTTTAAATAAGTATAAAATGCTTCTGTAGTATCTGATCGTTTTCGTTAAATTTTCAAAACTTGGGTTGCATTGTTAAACATCCTTTTGTTGTTGTAAGTGAATGGAATTGAGTGCATTGTACATTATGTACATTGTACTGTGTTTACTTAACATAATTGAATAAGGAACTGTAGAAAGAGATAATCGCAATTCTGTATTCTCAATTCTTTATTCTTCAAAATGCATTCTATTGTGTGAACAAGTAAGCTTCCAACCGATGCCGCCGCCGGAAATTAGAATCGGAAAAATAAAATTGAAATTTATCTTTTCTCAAGTTTAAACTCAGTTTAAAGATGGATAATAGAAGTTAGAATATTACAGGGTTTCTTACAGGGTTTTAGTTTTTATATAAGAGACGAACCATCAGATATAATTTTTAGTAAAATCAATCTACAACAGGCCTAGAGGGAAAAAAATCTTATTCTGACCAAGGTGACCAGCCAGCCGCCGTGACAGGGCCAGGCTTTTCTTTTAGTTTTATTTTATTTAACTTTTGAGATCCTGAAAGGTTTTTTCTTTGAATGTGTTACATCTTGAAATTGATGAACACTTCCATATTGGGAAAGCTAGGGGTGGTTTATTTGTACCTGTGTATCTCTAGGGAGTATCCCTCTACCTCGTCCACCATCCTCTGGGTTCCATCCTTCCTGGTTCTAATCCTTAATCCTCCCTCTCTCTTCCATCTGATCTCTGGTGTAGGTATACCCTGAGCTCGACATGTAAACCGAGCTGTATCATCATGCTCCCTGCAGTACAAAACCAGTTATTCTGCAGTACAAAACCAGTTATTCTGCAGTACATACTAGTTATTCTGCAGTAAAAACCAGTTATTCTACAGTACAAAACCAGTTATTCTGCAGTACAAAACCAGTTTTTCTGTATTATAAAACCAGTTATTCTGCAGAGCAAAACCAGTTTTTATTCAGTATAAAACCGGTTATTCTGCAGTACAAAACCAGTTATTCTGCAGTACATACTAGTTATTCTGCAGTAAAAACCAGTTATTCTACAGTACAAAACCAGTAATTCTGCAGTACAAAACCAGTAATTCTGCAATACAAAACCACTAATTCTGCAGTACAAAATTAGTTATTCTTTAGAACAAAATAAGTTATTTTACAGTACAAAACCAGTTATTCTGCGGTACAAAATCAGTTATTCTGCGGTAAAAATAGATTTTTTTGGTCCTTTTTACCTGGTAACAAGATCCCCGGAAGTTCTATTCATATCTATCTTGTTACCTGGTAACCAGATCCCCGGAAGTTCTATTCATATCTATCTTGTTACCTGGTAACCAGATCTCCGGAAGTTCTACTCATATCTATATCCGGAGGAACTTGAACATGTAACCACGCAGATTGGAACAACATGGGATCCGTGTTTATCTAGATATTGATTCTTGTATCCTGTATATAGTGTTCTGTATCTTGTATCCTGTATCCTGTATGTTGTATCCTGTATCCTGTAGATAGTGTTCTGTACCATGTGTCCTGCATCCAGTAGCCTGTGTCACGTATCCTGTTTCCTTATCCTGTTTCCTGTGCCCTTTGTCCTGTTTTTTGTATCCTGTACCCTTTGTCTTTGTCCTGTGTCCTGTTTCCTATTTGCTATGTCAGGTGTCCTGTGTTCTGGGTCATATTTCCTTTGTCCTGCGTCATGTGTCCTGCAGTGTCTTGTGTCTTGTGTCCTGTGTCATATAACCTGTATCCCGTATCCTGTATCCTGTATCCTGTATCCTGTATCCTGTATCCTATACCTGACACATGTACTGTCCTGCATCCTCCCTTGATATTGAGCTGATATGAAGGTTAAATGTCGTCTTCATATCCCCGGACACAGATACTCGAGGGTTGTGAGTTATCAACTGAGGAATCGAACATAACATCAAAAAATGTAATTGTTTAAATAGAAACTGGAGAACATAACGAGCATATGTACTTAATATTGTTGTCTTAAATAATTGATACAACAAGATCTTTTGGGTTTTTAATATTTTCTATGAAAATCAAACTTGTGGCATAAACTTAAAAGATCTTAGATAACTTTGCTATTGTTTGATTTAATTCCGCAAATTATATCTTTATCAACACAATCATATATTTCATGATTTTTCATCCAATCACAGGAAGAAACTGATTATCTTTCTCACAATCTAATGTGTTAATTCTTATATCTTTGTGACCTCATGTTCACAAATTTTCAGAGAAAACTGCATTGCTCAGACACTATGTATGTACATTAATTTACGCAGAACAAGTAAGCCATCTTTATCAGGATCATAACAGTGCGAGTTAAAATGCGGGATGATTTTCTCCAAATTTAATAAAAAATGTTGATAGAAGAATTAGATCGATACTATTGTCCTGCCTGGTCTCCAATAGCTTGAATAGCTTTAGTGTCTGCTTCAACCCATCCAACCTAGACAAATATATATTTAGTGTCTGCTTCAACCCATCCAACCTAGACAAATATTAACTTACTAGCTTGGGATCCCGGCGCTGCCCAGGATATTTGTAGTTACTCCCGCCGTTTACCCGCACTCAATTTATAAGCCAAGCTAAGAACATTTCCGTGGCTCTCCCGAGTTCCCCAATAAAAATGTGAGGCAAATCGGTCAAGGGGTTCCTGAGTTATGATCGGACAGACAAACAAGCAGACAGACAAACAGAGATTACAACTTTATATATAGAAGATAGACAACTCTCGACTTAAGAGTTTGGGTATTAAATAAATGTCACTCATAATGTTTTCTGTTTCTTTATTGTTCAATAATTACGTAAAAAAGACTATACCCATGAGGCCCCAAAGTTGTTTGACCTCGCATGACGGTATGAATTTTAGAAAAAAAAACGTCTTCAGAAGATCATGATCTAAATTTTACTTTGATATTCGCCAATGCTAACATATAAATCCACAAATTCTTTAATTTTTATTCTTTATAATGTATACAAGAAAATAATGGTTGTCGGTAAATTAAAATTCAAGACTAAAATCATTGGAAGACGTATATAGTGTAGATTTAATAACATACATTTTTTGCAAGACATTGAACTAAAACATTCTTATAAATCAAGAAAAAGATTTTAATCAATAAGATAGATCCTTTCACAAGCTCACAAGCTTAGATAAAAGTTAGTTTTATTGTTTTTACTAGAACATTTATCTAATTATATTTGAAATGAAGGAGATGAAAAAATAATAATTTTTTAGATGAAGAAATAATAGTTTCTTGACACTTCAGAAAACCCCGGTTTCTTACAAATTTCGTGGAATTTTTTTCACGTCTATTTTTAAAACTTTCCACTATTCTAAGAGGGGAGGGAGGGCAAAAATTAGTTTTCAAGGATTGGATAAAGAGGAGTGCTAGTCCCCCCCTCATTGTAGAATTTTTTTAATGAAAGTGATGTTTTAAGGGGTTAAAGTCGAAAAAATGAATTTTTATATTTTTGCAAGTTTGGCTTTTTATTTAATGTATTTCGATTTCTATTTAATGTATAGTAAATCATTTTAAAATCCACGTTTACAAGAAAAGAAAACAGGGTCGTTAGGACTAATGGTAAAGGATAATTCTGGCGGTTTTGCACAAGATTGGCTTAGTTAGGTTAGGTAAGGTACGGGGTTTCATACAAGATTGGCATAGTTAGGTTAGGTACGGTACGGGGTTTTGCACAAGATTGGCTTAGTTAGGTTAGGTACGGTACGGGGTTTTGCACAAGATTGGCTTAGTTAGGTTAGGTACGGTACGGGGTTTTGCACAAGATTGGCTTAGTTAGGTTAGGTACGGTACGGGGTTTTGCACAAGATTGGCTTAGTTAGGTTAGGTACGGTACGGGGTTTTGCACAAGATTGGCTTAGTTAGGTTAGGTACGGTACGGGGTTTTGCACAAGATTGGCTTAGTTAGGTTAGGTACGGTACGGGGTTTCATACAAGATTGGCATAGTTAGGTTAGGTACGGTACGGGGTTTCATACAAGATTGGCTTAGTTAGGTTAGGTACGGTACGGGGTTTCATACAAAGGATGGGACTTCGATGACGATAAAAAACTCATGTAAACATTGCTATTTTTTTATGAATTCATATTTGTATTCAACTACAAAGCATGATATGATACAAAATAAAAAATCACAATTTACCATGTAGTTTGGACCCGCCTGACCAGAGTAGATTGTTTTAAGTGGTTGGCCCATTATAAACGAATGAGAATTGTAAATAAATACTTGGGTTTACACTGTACACTGTACAGTGTACATTTTAAACATAATAATGATGATAAATCAGGAAAAAGGTAAGAAGGAGGTGAGGAAGTATAAGGGAAAGGGAGGGTACTCAGCGGAAGGGTTGGAACATAGGGTAACATGTTATTAAAATCATGTTTATGAACTGAAGAAGATAGTAAAGACTGAGTTTATCCACATAATACACAGTATTTTAATACAGATATAACTTGTATAACTATCTAAATAGATCTTGGAAACTTTTCTCTTAAATGATTTTGCAGATTTAATTACTTTAACATTACTTTAAGCTCTAATTTAATCGAATTTCTTAATTTTGGAAATAAAGCGGTAAGCATTCTAGAGAATCCTCTCAAGTTTATATGATTTTGTTCTATTTGGTTCAGCTAAAGAATTAAACATATCATAGAAGGAAGTTGGAAGGTTTTCATAAAAGTATTTACTGCTCTAATTACCCTTTTTTGCAAAAATTTGATGTTACAACACCCCCCCCCCCCCTCCATGTTATAATTCCATACTCAATATGTGACCTTACAAGTGCATTATAAACTAGTAGACGAATGTTTAATGGTAAAATGTTTTTAATCTGATTCAGAGCAAAAATTGATCTAGCAATCTTATTGGAAATATATGTTCAATTTGATAGTCCCATCAATTTAAGAATTCATCAATTTTGAGTCCAACAAAGGAATTGAGTCTTTGCCACAAACTCTGATTTTATAATCCTTATATCTGTAGAACCCAATGTTGTAAATCTTTGATATTTCAAACTTATATTATTTGATCTAACAGAATTCATAGTTTGAAATATCTAAGGCCTACGACATAGGAATACAAAGATATAGGATTTAAAAAAGCAGAGTTTGTGGCAAAGACTCAATTCCTTTAAAATATTTATATGTACAGGCAGTTCCTATTGTTTCTAGAATCTCATTTCCAATTTTTAATTTGCAGTTCTCAAGATCAAAATACATATTTTTATTCCTAAATATCATAAACTTTGTTTTTGAAACATTTAATGTTAAATGGTTTGACTGAAACCATGCAGCTGCCTTTTTTAGTTCAAAGTTGGCATCAATTTGTAAATGGAGAAAACTAGTGTTATCAGCAAATAGATAAAAGAAATAAGACCTAACCATATTCGTACAGTCGTCTCTGAAGTCTAATCCTTTGAGGTAACCCTGTAATTCCCAAAATTGGGGTTTATGATATATTTTGCATATTTTCAAATAAACATGGTAGCTAGTCAGACCTTGTGCCCCATGCGCTGAATATTGAAAAGATTATTTTAATTATATTTAACTTTAAAATACTTTATTAGATTCGTACTTACATTAAAAGTTCCAAGATTGACCACATTGCATGTAAACATGACATCCCGTTCAGTCGGAGCTGACACGTTGGAGAGAACACTTGTAAACCTCGGGGTTCGATCTACAGGGTTCTCAGGGTCTAGGTTAGAGTAGTGATTAATTCACAGGGTCTATAGGTTAGAGTAGGGGTGTTAGTTCTCAGGGTCTAGGTTTGAGTAGTGGCTATTTCCCAGGGTATTGGTTAGAATTGGATTGTTTCTCAGGGTCTAGGTTTGAGCAATGGGTATTTCTCAGTGTATTGGTTAGAACTGGGATTGTTTCTCAGGGTCTAGGTTCGAGTATTGGTTATTTCTCAGTGTATTGGTTAGAACTGGGATTGTTTCTCAGGGTCTAGGTTCGAGTATTGGTTATTTCTCAGTGTATTGGTTAGAATTGGGATTGTTTCTCAGGGTCTAGGTTTGAGTAGTGGTTATTTCTCAGTGTATTGGTTAGAATTGGAATTGTTTCTCAGGGTCTAGGTTTTAGTATTGGTTATTTCCCAGGGTCTAGGTTAGAGTACGGATAAGTGCTAAGGGACTAGGTTTAGGTTTATCAGGGTACAGGTTAAGGAGGATTTAATAATTCGGTCCTTATCCCAGCAAGCTGTGAATTCGGTCCTTATCCCAGCAAGCTGTGAAGTCGGTCCTTATCCCAGCAAGCTGTGAATCCGGTCCTTATCCCAGCAAGCTGTGAATTCGGTCCTTATCCCAGCAAGTTGTGAATTCGGTCCTTATCCCAGCAAGCTGTGAATTTGGTCCTTATCCGAGCAAGCTGTGAATTTCGATCACAATTTAACTTAAATTGAACATCAAATTTTCGTCTTTTGGATTAGAGATTTTATGAAAAATTTGGTATTACCTAACATAGCCATAAAAGTAGATGTCGAAATAGGAGAGAAAAATAGAAGGAGAATAGATCTTCCAATCATAGAGCTCATCGCAAACCTATAATTGGGTAAATATGTTCATTGGGGTTAAAAACATTATTGAGTAATTCAGGTTTTTAGGATATATATGCACTAAAAAATATATTTGACCTTATATTCAAGAAATGTTTGTACTTGTTAGTTAATACCTTACATTTATTGGTTTAAAAATATTGATTTAAAAAACTAAGGCAACCTGAGTTTTATTCCTACAGCTGATTAAAACATTGCGTTTCACAGGGTTGGTTTATTTCTCCGCCATATTTTTATTTATTCTAAAAAAAGAAGATTATTTTAAAAGTTCAGTTCAGAAATCTTTCTCTAGAATTAAGGGAGTCTGCCCCCTCCTTTAATATACTTTTGCCGAAACTTTTCTCTGGTTTGTCATAAAATATTTTATTTCATTGTATACAGTAACCATAGGTAAAAAAAGGTTGTTTTTCTAGCGAAACTTACTTGTTTTGAAAGAAAATTATAAAGTTTTATTTTTAGCATAAAATCTCAAGCTAAAATTGCTAGTTTTAATACCAATCGTATTAAAAAAATTTCGCTGGGGTCTTATACTACGACACCCATTTTACACACCCCTTTCGCTTTTGGAAAATCTTGGCTATGGGCCTGGCCCCACCTAATTTTATCAAAATTGAATCAAAATTGGAATCGAGTGACACTCTGAGATCGTCCTAGTTCAGAATTAGAATTGTAATACATACTTTGGGATTTCATGATAAAAATAAGGCTGCTGCATGAAGTATATATTAACGGCTAAGGCTGTATGACTAACATTACTGCAAGATGAACAGTAAAGACGGACAACTGCAGTATTCTATTTGTCCATAGACTGGAATTTTCTTAGTAATCATTAGAAAATCAAAACACAAACAACAAAAAGTACCTTTCCTAGTATAGGCATCATTACGAAATCAAAATTATTAACAATGACAATCTGGAATTTGTCAATTAATAACCATGTTTATTATTATGTAAATATATACTACTTTATCCCTTAGATTTATATAGATGTCTGTTTCCCTAATAATGCTTTCTAAACATAATTGAATGGATTAAAGAAACATCTGTATTCTCAAGGTTTAGCTTTGTAGAATTTTATTAAATTTACAGATGTAAAAATAGAATAATCAAAACACAGTTAATTTTTAGAAACAAATGAAAAATATAAACATTTTTTTTGAATACATTGGCGGCTATCTACTTTACAAACACAACTTGATAAGCCTTTCAGAAAGTGATCATAATCGTATTTATAATTATTTTGTTGTGCTAGCCTTTTTGGGCGCTTCGCGGCCATCTTCTCTCTTTGAATAGTATAAAACAAAAACAAAAAAAGTTTGCAGATTTCATAATATTTTTTTGCGCATTTTTAAAATTTACAAAATATAAAACTTTTAAATGCAAATTTTAAAAATTTTGATCATGCGTAAACCTTCCCTGGGGTCACATGAGGTCCCAGACAAAATTTGGGCCCGATCGGTTCAGCCGCTTTGACGTTTATTGGATACAAACAGACAGACAAGCCAAATTTATATATAGATAGTTTAAATTTCTTTAAAAGGAATTGAGTTTTTGCCACAAACTTAAATTTTCGAATTCCAATATCTTAGTGACCTGATGTTGTAAACATTTGATATTTTAAACTTAGATCAGTTGAGCTAACAGAATTCATAGTTTGAAATATCTAAGGTCTGCAACATTTGGTTGGGACAATATAAGGATTAGAAAATCAGAGTTTGTTGCAAAGACTCAGTTCCTTTGCGAAATTTATGAAAAACCTGGTCATCAAAATATCTATGATTATTTTTACAGTAATTTTTTGAGGAAGAGAGGGACCAAGTTGGTGGAGTTGTCTTCTCAATACATGCATACATTTTTTTTATAAATATTGTTAGTGAAAGGAGGTGAGTTTTTCTCGCAAACTCAAACTTTCTCATCCCTATATCTTTGCAAACTGATAGTGTAAATCTTTCATATTCCAAATTTAGACCTTGTAATCTAACAGAATTCATATTTTTAAATATCAAAGGTCTACGTGCATCGGGGTTCAAAGATAAAGGGATTAGAAAACCAGAGTTTGTGGCAAAAACTCTTTTTAGGCGATCGTTCAATAATTGTTCATGCGCTTTAACTTCGCCTTGGTAAGGTTTACATTGCTATGGAAGTTTATTGCATCCTTTAAAAATGGGAGACTGAAAAATACGCTTACAATCCCTTTAATTACCTAAATAATCCTTCTAGCAGAAGGGATTCTTTTTTAACAGTCAATACAATCCCATTATTTACCTCAATAATCCTTCTAGCAGAAGGGATTCTTTTTAAACATTCAATACAATCCCATTATTTACCTCAACAATCCTTCTAGCAGAAGGGTTTCTTTTTTAACAGTCAATACAATCCCTTCAGCGAAACGTTATGGTTAAAAATGATAAATTTGTTGAAATTCCGGACTTGAGGAACTTTAAACCCTAGGTCCAGCTTTTCCGGTTTAAGACTCCGACAAGCGGAAAATTACCCCGAGGTTTCTCCATCCTTGGTTCAAAATGTCAGCATTGTTTAAGAACTATTGGAGATGAATTGAAATCAATCATTAGTTTCCTATTTTTTCGGCTTTACAGTTTGAGATATTAGTAAAATGTTTACTGGATGAGATATTAGTAAAATGTTTACTGGATGAGATATTAGTAAAATGTTTACTGGATGAGATATTAGTAAAATGTTTACTGGATGAGATATTAGTAAAATGTTTACTGGATGAGAAATTAGTAAAATGTTTACTGGTCGAGATATTAGTAAAATGTTTACTGAGAACCATAAAAAAGTGGAAAAGGAAGATTCTAGATTTGATTTATGATTGTCAATATAACATGAACAGTTTTACTGTTAAAACTATTTGCTTTATAACTAGAAACATCAAGTATAACAATTAAGATTTGTTAAACCCCGTCTTCATATTCCTTACGTTATCGGTCCCCTGAATTATAACAACACAATATTTCAATAAAAAATTAAAAATCATAATATTATTTTTTAAGGCGACACAAAGTTTCCAATATTAATCTTAACAATATAAATATTTATCTCTGTAAACATTAACTCTTATACGCTGTAAATGTAAATGTCAGGTTTTGAATATTTTGAATTAATTATTTGTTTCAAATAAAACCCGCAGAAACAAAAAGTCCTCGATATGTTTCTATATATCTAGGTTTCCTCAAGGTCGAGGTTTCTATGTATCTAGGTTTCCTCTAGGTCTAGGTTTCTATGTATCTAGGTTTCCTCTAGGTCTAGGTTTCTATATATCTGATTTTTAAATCCCTTTATCTTTGCAACCCAATGTCGTAACCTTAGATGTATATATATGAATTCTTTTAGATCAAATAATCTAAGTTTGAAATATCAATGGTGTACATAAACAGCAGGTTGTAAAGATATAGGGATTAGGAAATTTGAGCTTGTGGCAAAGCTCAATTGCAAACTTTAAAATCCTTAATTAGCGACATTTCTTAAAGAGACAGCAATTACCTCATTCACTCCACAACTTTCTAGAGTGTATGAATTAGATATATATATTATATATGTCTGCTGTATTAAAACAATTATTGTTTTGATCTAATTATGCATTTGAATACATATAATGTAATTATTTGCTCAACTGAACTTAAACCACATTTTAACATTCTGCTGATTTTATTATTTTACAATATTTCCTAACAAATTCTACTAAAATCTATATTTTTGCAAAGGTGATTTCTGATTTAGATTTTCTGATCTAACAGAATTCTTAGCTAAAAATATCAAAAGTCTACGACATAAGGTTGTAAATGTTTTCAATAGCCAAAAAATTAAGATTTAAAGGTTGTTCAAAAAATGTTCAAAAATGTTGTTTTCTTCGATGGAAATATTTTGGTTTTACAGATGATTTGCTTGTCTGTCTGTCTGTTTGTTTGTATAAAAAAGTCAACACGGCAGAACCAATCGGGCTCAATGACCCCAGGGAAGTTCTATGGCTGTAGGTCAAAGTTGAAAAATTTAGCACGGAAATAAATGTCGACATTTATTTTATTTGATAAAGCACAAATTTGAAATATATAAATCTGCGAAATTTTAGACATTCAGAGCAAAAGTAAGAATCTAATTTTTTTATTAAAGGTCCTTTCAAGAAATTATGATATTTTAGACTGTTAAGTTCAGAACTTGTTTTTTAGATAATCTTCAATATATTCCCCGTCTTTGGTCAGATTCAGCGCAAACTATTCTTGAACTGGAGTTGGCGGGGGAAATACCGGTTCAGAACATCGGGCTCGGAGGGAAAATAGAATTCAAAACTTTGTAGAATTTTGTTATGTTGAAAATATTTAATTTGTTTGTTATCCGGTTTTATTTAATAAGTGATCTAATTGTGTCACTCTTTCGGGCTAGCTTTTTTTTTAGAGAGTTGCATACAATAAAAAACAAGTTTCATGACTTTAAATGTTATTTTTCAAAACCAGTTGTCTATATTTCTGATCAATCTATGCTACATCTGAATAAGGAATCTTGAAGTAAATTTTGAGATAGACTTTACTACGTTCGTATGCTCCTTCAGATGAAACGTATATTTATAGCCTGAGATATAATTTTTTTTGAAAGAACCTACTTATACGATGTAAACTTCATGACCTTTAGATATAATCTACTATCCTTGTAATGTTATAATGTTATCTTTAGGTTTACAAGCCATGGTACCATGAAACCAACCCTTCATATAAACATGTTAACCATAAGATAAGACCTGAGATAAAACCTCCCCTTGCATACTCTAATATAGAACCCAACCTCTCCATGTATTCTCCGCTACTGAGAGTAAACCATCCTGGAACTCCACCTCTCCTTACACCTCTCTCTCTTCTTCTATCTGTCTAACCTTGGTTACTATCCAGACTCTTCATTGTTTTTATCCTTTCCTCCATTCTAGTTCTCCATTCGTCCTTTGCTCCATTCTAGTTCTTTATTCGTCCTTTCCTCCATTCTGGTTCTCCATTCTCCCCTTCCCTATTTATTCATCAATTCAAGTTATCCGTTCTTCTTTCCTTAATTCCAGATCTCCATTCTTCATTATCCTTTCCTTCCTTCTAGTTCTCCATTCTTCCTTATCCTTTCCTCCATACAATTTCTACATTCCACCCTTCCTAATTATTTTCTCCATTCCAGTTCTCCGTTCAACCCTTCATTATCCATTTCTCCTTTCAAGTTCTCCATTCTTTATTAACCTTACCTCCATTCAAGTTCTCCATTTTCCCCTTCCATATTCTTTTCTCCATTCAAGTTCTCCATTCTCCCCTTCCTTATTCTTTACTTAATTCAAGTCCTCCATTATCCCCTTCCTTATTTCTTCCTTCAGTTAGTTCTCCATTCTCCTCTTCCTTATCCATTCCTTTATTCTAGTTCTCCATTCTCCCCTTCCTTATCCTTTCCTCCATTCAAGATCTCCATTTCCCCTTCCTTATTCTTTCCTCCCTTCAAGTTTTCCATTCTTCCTTCCTTATTTCATTCCTTAATTTTAGTTCTCCATTCATCCCTTCCTTCTCCATTCCTCAATTTTAGTTCCCCATTCTCCCCTTTCTTATCCATCTTTTCATTCTAATTTCTTTGGTTCCTCCTTGTATTGAACAATAGAAAATGTATTCCTAACCACAAACAACAAGTCTTCTAATAGTTCTAGTTCTAGTTCTAATAGTTAAACATCATCTTAATAGTTTTGAGCACATTCCCTTTATCTGCCCCCCCCCCCTGTTAAAGAAAAGTATAGTTGAATGATTCTCTAGCTCTGGGTCTAGCTTATACCTTGATAAGTTCCATTAATCAATCCTCCTGAGAATACTTTAATCAAAACCTCTCCCGGAGAAATTGAATGAAAGGTTAATAGAGTATCATGAGATTTCAGGCAACTGGGACCATTAACTTTATTTATCTTTACCCTTCTCTCCTTAGTAAACAAGGGGAATCAATTAAAAAAATTAGCGAAAAAGTAGAGAAAAATGAAAACGTATCATTTTCGTATTCATTGACACAAAGAACCCCAAATTATGATGATGATAATGATTTTTTTTCAAACATAAACGTAAAATTTTTTCCCCAGCTTTTTTGAGCTTCACCTTTTATCTTATTGCATTATCGGAATTATATAAAAATGTTTATCAAAAAAGTGCATTAGAATTTAGAAAACTATTGCATATTTTTTTAGTTTACCCCTCTAGGCAATATAAATTCTGCGTGCAAACCTTGAAATTTGCGCGCAACCTTGCACACATTTTAAAATTAGTCAGTTACTATGTTAGATTTAAACAAGAAAGTGTAATAATAAATAGTAAGTAAAAACTCTATTTTTTTCAATCCCCGCTAACTATCTGTCATTTTTCTTGTATTATGTTGTGTAAATATATGCCGTTTTCCTGATTAATTGACATTACCAATCTGAATTGTAGGATATATAGATGGAACATCAGGAGCATGTTTTATAAATGGAAGACGATGGCACTTGACAAAAATCGAACGCGGTATACAACCGGATATTCAATTCCACGATAAACACGTGTTCAGTATATATGTTCCCATGTATATAGTATGAATACTGAATATAATCTATATATTGGAATCTATCATTATGAACAGAACCATGTCTTCTGGCGTTAGCAGATCATACTGGATATATTTACAAATTTATAAACAATATCAATATTTAAAGAGAGTGTTTACTGTTCATGCAGGTCTCATCCCATGTGTTTTTTAATCAAACTTCTTTTTTGTTGAAGATGGGTAAATTTTATGAAGGATAACAACAATGACATTCCAACCTTTTTCGTTACAAATTTATTGTCTTTAATATTTGAACTTCAAAAAAATACATCTTTTAAAGCCATTCTTCACCAGAAAATAGGGTTTTCAAATGCTCTATACTTACTTCACTACAAATATTTGCAATTAATGAGGACAAAAGTAATTTATTTTTTTATGATCATTGATTTATAATGGATCAAAAAGACCATCAACTTCAAGGTTATGCTTTGCAAACTGCTCCCAGGTATTACCATCCTTCAAGCACAGAGAATGATTTAGAAGTTTTCTGGAATAATCATTAATTGTGAAGCTAAAAATCTAGTTTTTTTCTCTTCAGAACCGATATTAATGAATAATTAGTTTTAAAATTTAAAACCCCTTTAAACTAAGACATGCAGTCCCCCATTTAAAGTTAACATTTTTTAATACTCAAAATTTTTTATTTCAAAATAATATCCTTTTAATTCTCTGTGCCTCGAAAGTAGAAGCGTCTGCTGGATTGTTCCTGATCTGCTCATACTGCTCCTTGATATCCATCTTAGTGAGCATCTCCAGGTGCACCAGGATACTGGCAAAGGGTATTTCATGCTGGAAGCTTGGATTTTCTAGGTTTACACTTCTGATACCAGATCTAAAGAATGTACATGTAGTAAATGCCATACTCTTAAAAGTTCGTCCCCATACTTATCAGTCGAGGTACAATCCCTTCGCTATGGATATCAAACAGAACACGATCCACATGTCTACAATCCCGTTAACTATCAATGCCAATACTCTGGCTGCATTCTTCTTTGCTATGTCAACTTGACAATAGTGATCTATTGATCAATGTCTCAAACAGGACATGATCAACACAGCTACAATACCATGAACTATCTACTCCACTACCACTGGGCGCGATCTCGTTAACAATCAGTGTCAATACAAACACTAGCATGCATTCAATTGATCAATGTCTCAAACAGGACACGATCCACACGGCTACAATCCTGTGAACTATCAACGCCAATACACTGGGCGCGATCTTGTTTGCCATGTCAACCGGACACTAGCAATCTATTAATCAATGTCTCAGACAGGACATGATCCACACAGCTACAATCCCGGGAACTTTCACTGCCACTATACTGGGCACTTCTGCATGCCGAGTTCATTTTCAGTCATGTGTTTGCTGTCTATTCTGAATCAAAAGAAATAGTATGGCGGTAACATCTATCTTTCTATCATTCTCATAATCAAATTAGAGATATGAATCCTTTAATTGCCGCTATCAGTAAATGGAAATATTTACTTTTACTGAAACTATCCCTTGAACTATCTGCAACGCCACTACACTGGGTGGGATCTCGTTTGCTATGTCAACCAGACAATAGCGATCTATTGATCAATGTCTCAAACAGGACACGATCCACATGGCTACAATCCCGTGAACTATCAACACCACTCACCACTGGGCGCGATCTCGTTTGCTAATGTCAACCGGACAATAGCGATCTATTGATCCATGCCAATACTCTAGGCACCATCTCAAAGAATCCAAATTACGCTTTACTTTAATCAAAGCGGAGTTCTGATTCTTGCTGATCTTATTTACGAAATTTTTATGCTACATGTGAAGTTCCAATATGTATTCACAATATTATGAATCACAATACGTAGCAAGTCTAGTCGCATTACAAGTTTACATATTTAAGGATTAACACAGTTAGATCCTCAAACAATGTGCTTAATAACTTGATAACTATTAAAAAACATTATCTGAAACTGAAATATAGTAATTAAAGTATTCTAATTGGTATAAATTCTCTTAAAAATATGTCTGATATAGAAATAAAATTCGGATTTGCATAAATTCAATTGAATAATATGATTGACCAAGAAATAAAATAAATGTGCAGCAAATCATGAAATTTTGTGCGAAAACTAAATAATAAAATCATCTTTGTTCAATCTTAGATTTAGAAACGTAGATTTTGCAATTTTTCACTTTGATTTATATATATTTGAAAAGCAGTGCTCAGGTTCCAAATACGGATCCGAATTGTATCAGAAACATTTTGGCTTCATGGATCCGTATATGAAAAAATACGGGGATCCACAGATCCAGACCCAAAGGGGCAAAATAATACCAAAAGATGTAAAAAGAAACTTTTTGTTCTCAAAACCCAAACCTTAACTTTTGAAAATGTTTCTCTCTCTTATGTACAAAAATCAGTAAATCTAAAAGAATTCCGAATCCGCATCGAAATGAAATGGATCTTAAGCACTGAAGTGAAAAGATTAATGAAAGATGATTTTATTTTCGCGTTTTTCTTGTTATCTCTATAATTAACCTTAGAGACACAACAGGAGCTACAAACTTCCCAATAACCTTCATATTACTATGCCCACTGCTATGTGAAACCTCTAGTACGAAAAATCCTGAAAATAATTATTTATTACACTTAGACCCATGAAAGGGGTGTAAGCGAAATTTTCATTGACTTTACATTTAGGGGCGACCCTGATTCACAGCGTTGCCCGTTAAATGGAAGGTCACTTGAAATTAAGCTTAATTTTCGTTTCAAATACAAAAGTGAGAAAAAATCAACAATGTTTTTTGCAGAAAATATAAAATTCTATGAGTTTTCTGTGCGTATTTTGGCGTGGAAATAATCCAATAGTATGGGACGCTCTGTATTAAGTATAAAAGTTAAAATACTATAAAGCAATAATCAGAGCAGCTTCTCAGTTTTCATAAAATAAGTTAAAATAAATCAACTTATAAAACGAAATACCTAGTTCAGGCCTTGATATCACAATAGGAGGGATTTTCAAGTTCCAGATTGGTCTAAATAATAAATCTGAATAATAATTGAGAATCAATATGCTTCTTTAAAGGGGTTGCTCACAGTTCAGGAAATTTTACCGTAATTTTGTAAATTGAACTTGGTTTCCCCTGATTGGCTGGATTGCTTGCTTCTTCTAACTAATTCAGCCAATGAGAAGCTGGCAAGTTAACTCTCCAACATTTAGGACTTTTTACAGAAAGATTTATGCAGGCATATATTTGGAACAATCCATTCATAAAGAAACTTAAAAAACCTTAATCCATTTCCTCTGGTAGCGATCACTGGCGTTGTTTTTCCTTCTCTTCCTGATTCTGCAACTACCCAGGCACTGAAGGAAATTCTCAACGTAATTATAAGGGAAACATCAGCAGAAAAGTGACATAAACGATTTACAACAGTACCCATAGTACCTAGGTACCTACCTGACCTAGTACCCATTGTACCTAGGTATCTGCCAGACTTATTACTCATAGTACCTAGGTACCTATCTGACTTAGTACCCATAGTATTTAGGAACCTACCTGACCTAGTACCCATAGTTATAGCTAGGCTACCTGACCTAGTACCCATAGTATCTAGGAACCTACCTGACCTAATACGACCCATAGTATCTAGGCTACCTGACTCAGTACCCATAGTATCTAGGTACCTATACCTGACTCATTACCCATAGTATCTAGGTACATACCTGACTCAGTACCCATACTATCTACCTACCTGACTCAGTACCCTTAGTATCTAGGTACCTACCTGACCTAGTACCCATAGTATCTAGGTACCTACCTGACCTAGTACCCATACTATCTAGGTACCTACCTGACCTAGTACCCATAGTATTTAGGTACCTACCAGACACTAACTGTATGAACTGTATCCTTCCATTGTTTTTGGCCCCAAAGTTTGCTTCCCTCTAGGATTGTACATTTCAACAGAACTGAGTTTGATACCTGGAATAAAGACTCAGTTCGGAACAAACATAATTTCAACTAAATATTTCAAAAATAAACTTTCATTTTTAGCTGTGATGAAATAATCTAATTCTGTTCAAAAGATTAAACTGTTTTCGTCTGCAAATAATGATAACTCCAAAATCCATAGAGAATAGAATATATAGAGAGGAATTAAAAGAATCTCTCGGTATGAACTTTTTCAGTCCCTTTCAGCCTGAAAGGGAGTTCAAAGTGTACAAATTATGTAAATGTTCACAAATTATATGCAGTAGAGTACATTAATACAGTGTGTTCCCTATAGACTATCCATTTAAATTTCGAAATTTTTAAACTGTGAAATAAACTTTATAATGAATTAGGTGAATAAAAACATCATTTGATTTATAGTTATAACGGAAAATCATCGTTTGTTAAGTGGAAGGCATAGAGTCTATGTGAAATGATCATTGGTCAATTATGAAACCAGCCTATTTCATAATTTGGTTTTCTTTTAACAACAATTTTAGATTTTCTATAAAATGATATTCCAGGGCCCAACAGGTTATATAGCACAAATATGTGAAGTACACCTGCAGTATGGAAACAGTACAACAAAATGGCCGTTTTACACTTTTTTTCTAGTAAATTCCTCTCTAATATATTCTATTCTCTATAGTTCAGTAAATTCCTCTCTATATATTCTATTCTCTATGCCAAAATCATGATGAGAGCGAGAGAAGAAGAATCAGCTTGAGTAGGGTTTCCAGCAAACGAAAACTTTCTCGAAAAAATGAGAAAATTTTCTTTCATATTTTGCAAACTTTTTCGCGAAATGTGAAAAAAAGAACTTCACTTTATTAGTTATTAACACATGCTGGAACTCGGGATTTTAAATTGCAAATAAAAACGTGAAATTAAAAGTTTTTAGACTTACCAGTTTCGTAAGAAGGTTCCCAGATTTAGGAACATATCCACAGTTCCCGTTCCTTTTAAACATTGCCCTGTGTAGTTCCATATTCTCTGGGTATCTAGTTGGTCTGAGGTTCATGTTAACCATCTTAACATAGATCAGGGTTATATTTAATCCTATCCCGATTGGGCGATAGGGCCCCCCATGATTTTGCCCTTAGAGTTGAGATAGGGGAGTGTGATACATGCCCCTAGTTCAACTTTTCAAGGCCTGCTCATTAAAAAAAATTTGACCTCTAACTTGAATGGTTGCAAGGGATGATTTTAAAAAAGTTCAAAAAGTACGTGGGAAAAATGTTTAAAAATAATTATTTTTACTGTTGACAAATTTAACATGTGACACATGTTATTACATATATTTTTCAAGGGCTTTTTAAACATATGATTAGCCTGGTTAGCCAGATTTTAGTAAAACCTACAACCCATGGGAAACATGTAAATATCAAACCATGGATCTTACTAATGTGGAAAAGCATCAAGTACAAGTATAATTTAAAAGGTGTTTTTACACATCAATTGCAAGACTCCAACTGTTGATAATCTACTCCTAGCTAAAACTCTTTTCGTCACAATTGTCATTATTTAAGTTGAGATTCTGACATTGGGTCCTTTAAATTTTCAAAATTCCACGTTTTGTGCATTGTTCTTTCTTCTTTGCCTTTCTATCCTTTCCTTGAACTTTACTCCATTCGGACCCATAACTTTCTATCCTTTCCTTAAACTTTACTCCATTCGGACCCTTAACTTTCTTTTGAATTTTCCAACTTCTTCAATTTTTTTTAATAAATCGCTTACTATAGACCCATGCCAATTTTTGTGTCAGTCATTTTGAGCCTAGTAGAATTATTTTGAAGAAAAAAAAGTTATTTGAGTGTTTTTTTTCACATAGCATGGAGCATGTGAAAGTATTAGGATTGATACCAACTTGAGAATACAGAGAGTGTTATATCTGGATTGATACCAACTTGAGAATACAGAGAGTGTTATATCTGAATTGATACTTACTTGGAAATACAGAGAGTGTTATATCTGGATTGATACCAACTTGAGAATACAGAGAGTGTTATATCTGGATTGATACATACTTGAGAATACAGAGAGTGCTGTATCTGGATTGATACCAACTTGAGAATACAGAGAGTGTTGTATCTGGATTGATACCAACTTGAGAATACAGAGAGTGTTGTATCTGGATTGATACCAACTTGAGAATACAGAGAGTGTTTTTATCTGGATTGATACTTATACTTGACGGATACCGAGATTGTATCTGGATTGATACTTACTTAAGAATACAGAAAGTGTTGTATCTCGGTTGATAGATACTGACGGATACCAACTTGAGAATACAGAGAGTGTTTTTATCTGGATTGATACTTATACTTGACGGATACCGAGATTGTATCTGGATTGATACTTACTTAAGAATACAGAAAGTGTTGTATCTCGGTTGATAGATACTGACGGATACAGAGGTTGTATCTCTATTGATAGATACTGACGGATACAGAGGTTGTATCTCGATTGATAGATACTGACGAATACAGAGGTTGTATCTCTATTGATAGATAGAAAAAAAACGTTGTAATCGTTTAAGGCCCAAAATAAATTTGCGTGTAATTTGAAAACTAAAGGATTTCGAGGTCACAACGTCGTTCCAGTAATTCTGCTTAAAGGCCTTGTTCCATGTTAATCTAATTGGAAAGCTGCATTGCATCTTGCATATTCACTGTACAAGTCTATCATACAAACCTGTACTCCCAACCTCCAGGCCTTAAGTGGACTAAAACTGGAAAACTGGAGATAACAAATATTTAGTGCTTTTAGTTTTTATATCATTCTTACATAAACGTTTGGCGACATATTGTTTTTATTTATCAGAGATATTTTAAAAAGTGAAGGAAAAAATTGATAGGGATTATAACATAAAACATAATGAACTATAAACATAATAATTTTCCTTATTTCTATTCAAAGTTTCTGTAAGAAAATTAAAAAGGAAACAATTTCTTTAAATGTCGTCTTCTTATTCCTCAGTTGTGAGGGTCCTACTGTATAATTTTGTAAAAAAGTTCTTAAACAATCAATAAATATTTTTTCCTGTGAATTTGAAACATTTTTATGTACTTTACATAGTGCTGAGTTATGGAGCTTAGCTGAAAAACAAATTTTTAATTGTATTGTTTCATTAAAAATACATTTATTTAATATTATTTATTATCAACCAATTGTTTGCACGAATAAAAATAATAATTAGTTTATAAAATTCATGCTAAAATAATTCACCTATTTTTATTGAATTTTCTTTTTGGCTAAATTCCTGAAAATCTTCTCGAGTCATCAAATTAACTTGAAAATGTTTTCGATTCTTCGTTTGAGACTGTTCATCCTGCAACAAGAAAATTTTAAGTTAAATCATCAGAGTTTAAAGATGTATAAAGATGAGCCTTCATATCAAGACTATTGTACAATAAAAGATTAAAAAAATATTTATAATACAGGGCGTCCCAAAAAACATGGGAATTCAGTGACGAATAGTATATCGTCTTTGCTATGAATTAGCATTGTAATACCTAATTTCAAAAGCCATAATATTATTATGTCTGCTAGAGTTTATTTTATGAAAAGGGTAAAAGACTGTAAAGATGTGTCTATAATGTCTCTGCAAGATAAACAGTGAAGACGGACAAGTTTTCTCTGTTTGTATACTGCAATTTTCTTGTTTTAACAAGCATTTATTCAAGCATTTAACTACGAACATGTACAAGCATTATCAAGCATTTACAAGCATTTAAAAACATTTACCAGCATTGTAAAGCATTTACAAGCATTGTAAAACATTTACAAGCATTGTAAAGCATTTAAAAGAGGGGAGACATGCAACCTGCACCCATCATAGCGCTTTGGATCCGCAAATGAGGTCACAAAATGTATTTGCGGCAGCACGACCATCCGAAGCGCTTCCGATCCGCACCTTTTTTTGTCTTAATTATATACTTTTCCAGGTCAATTTTAGACGAATATGGTGCTTAAATTTAAATATTTTAAACGTCCCAGGCTCCATAGTCCATAGCATCTATAATCATCAAACACATGTATCACTGTAAACTCAGGTTCATTTGAAGTACCTGACTGATTTTAAGGAAGCTAGGGTAAGTTGTATAGATTCACCGACATAGGGCCAAACGACCCAGGGTCATATGCCATACGGTCAAACGACATAGATAGGGTAAAACAACCGAGGGCTAAACGACCTAGGGTCAAACAAAATAGGGTTAAAAACGTGACCAAGAGTAAAATGACTTATTGTAAAACTTCGGCAAACTTTTTTTTTTGAGTGACAGCCCATTACTTAACATTTAAGACGCAGCAGCGCTCGGTCCAGAAATTGTCTTAACCTACCCTATCCCAAATAAGATGAGACGGTTTATTATTTAACCCCATCCTAGCCGCAGCCCTCGGTCCCCTAGCCCATCCTAGCCGCAGCATCAGTCCCTTAGCCCATCCTAGTCGCAGCATCGGTCCACTAGCCCATCCTTGCCGCAGCCCTCGGTCCCCTAGTCCATCCTAGCCGCAACACTTGGGCCCCGAGCCCATCCTAGCCGCGGCCCTCGGCCCAGAAATTGTCTTAACCTAACCTAACCCAAAATAAGGTGAGAGACAACATATTATCTAACATATTAAAAGAAAAATTTGTCGAGGTTTTGGCCGACGGCTAAACCGGGGCCGTACACCAAATGAATAATGCGAGATTATTAAACTTTATTGTGGTATGATGCTTTATAAATACAAATATTGAAACCTGTGGGTGTAGATAGATCAGTTCATAAAGCGAGAATACTGTCTCCTTTTCAGCTATCTTTGAGTTCTGAATTGAATTAGAAAAATGTTTAAAAACCACAATTTTTTAAAAAGCTTGATTATGATAGAAAACGAATTTTTACCATTTTAGCATAGTTTTCCAGAAGTTGGGTTACTTCCTCCGCTGATTCAATATCACTCCTCCCCTCTTAAAATTTGTTAGATTAATATTTTGTTTAATTTTCAAAAACTTTATTTCAATTATTTGTAAGCGATTAAATTGTGAGACAGCTTGTTTTTCCATTCATTAAAACAAATATCTAGGAAATGGTTTCATCTCTTAATTTTTTAGAAAATTATATTTTTTCAATTTTTTGTTTGCTTTCTTTCTACCAACGTGAAATAAACTTAATTCTAAAATTCAAAAACTATTTTTTGCTTGTTGGAAAGGAAATTTCAAACAGACAAATTCCAGATGGGTCAAACTCCCAAAAGACGTATTCCGGAAAAAATTTTATTTGTTGACCGTTGAACGAATTTTGAACGTATTTATTTTAAATTGTTTATTATTCTACGAAAATATAATGTTAGCAAAAATATCAAGTTGAAATTTTTTTTGTACAAAAGAGTAAATATTTTTTTCTGATTATAAACCTGCATCTACTGGATCTATGAAACCTAGAAGTAGTTTATCTATCTCTTCTTTCAGTTCAACTTTCAGTAGTTCGTTCACATTATCCAGGGGTTCAAAACTCTCCTAAACATTATCCAGGGGTTCAAAACTCTCCTGAACATTATCCAGAGGTTCAAAACTCTCCTGAACATTATCCAGGGGTCCAAAACTCGCCTGAACATTATCTGCAGGGGTTCAAAACTCTCCTGAACATTATCTGCAGGGGTTCAAAACTCTCCTGAACATTATCTGCAGGGGGTTCAAAACTCTCCTGAACATTATCCAGGGGTTCAAAATATTGCTGAACATTATCCAGGGGTTCAAAATATTCCTGAACATCATCCAGGGGTTCAAAACATTCCTAAACATTATCCGGTGGTTCAAAGCTTTTCTGAACATCATCCAGGGGTTCAAAACATTCCTGAGCATTATCCAGGGGTTCAAAACTTTCCTGAACATCATCCAGGGGTTCAAAAAATTTCTGAATATTATCTAGGATTCAAAACATTTCTGAAAATTATCCAGTGGTTCAATACATTCCTAAACATTATCCAGGGTTTCAAAACATTCCTAAACATTATCCAGGGGTTCAAAACATTCCTAAACACTATCCAGGGGTTCAAAACTCTCCTGAACATTATCCAGGGGTTCAAAACATTCCTTAACATTACCCAGGGGTTCTAAACATTCCTGAACATTACATTATCCAGGGGTTGAAAACATTCCTGAACATTATTCAAGGTTTAAATACATTCCTAAACATTATCCAGGAGTTCAAAACATTCCTAAATATTATCTAGGAGTTCAAAATTCTCCTAAATATTATCCATGGTTTTAATACATTTCTGAACATTATCCAGGGTTTTAATACATTCCTGAACATTATCCAGGGTTTCAATACATTCCTGAACATTATCCAGGGTTTCAATACATTCCTGAACAGTATCCAGGGGTTCAAAACTCTCATGAATATTATCCAGTTCAAAATATTCCTGAACATTATCTAGGTGTTTAAATTAATTACCTGACCGAGTAAAAAGGTCACACATAATTTAGAATTTAAGAGTCATAATTATACAAAATTGTTATGCAATCTATTACAAACCTGATTTTTTACCATTTGTGGAGAATACTTGCTTAACGGAAACACTGTAGTCAACGGTTCAGGGGGTTCGTTAAGTATTTCAATATTTTGGAGAACCGTTGAGATTTTAAACTCTTCTCTAGCCTCAACACTGGAATTAAAGAAATTAACAAAAACTTGTGTTTTTATTTTAAAACTAAAGTTTAAAATACATCTTTAGACCAACCTAAAGACCATTCTATCCTCAACCCTGGCTTTAAACTCAACTGTTTTCCTGAACAAAATGATGATGTTTGAATTACACTGGCCAAAACTAGATCAAAAGAAGAGGGTAAGTGTAAATTTATATTTTATGACATTTTTTAATTAAATCAATATGATAATAATTGTAGTTTAAAACCTGAGTAAACAATTTCCAGAGATTGGCCAAAAATGAAAATAATTCACCAATGCAGTCAACGAACTAAACTAAATCACATAATTTAAAGAAAAATAATATTGGAACATATCACTTTTACAGTTGAAAACTTTTGAATCCAGGCATTACAAGTTCTAACCTCAGGCAGTAGTTAGAAAGCATTTTTAAGGTTTGTCAAAATAATTCAATCTAATTTAATCTTCGTTCCATAATATTTTGAAAGTCCTAGGAATATAAATTTTAAAAAATCGCGGGAAACCTGTTTTTTTTCTCTATCGTAGCCCAGGAACAAAGAAAACTGATTATTTTCCTGGAAAATCCCGATTAGAACCACTTCCGGTGCCGGATCAGTTGTCAGAAGAAGCGTGATAAACCGGTTTTTGTCATCCGACGTCAAGATGAAGGTTCCGGGAAACCTTGATTTCTCGATGATCTGATACGCAGAGTTGAGTGACAAGGAACCAAAATTCCAATCCATATTTGCGTCAAAAATCTTTAGGTTTAACGGATTTCCAAGTTTCTGCCCATTTCTAAAATATTTAACATTTTCTTCTAGATTTAATATTTTTGTTTAAAAAAAAATTCTATTAGGGTTCAATTCTTTTTAGAGCAAATCGAAGCTATTGCTTTTTCATGAAATAATCAAAATTGGTGCATTGATAATTTGTTTAAGGAAATGCCTTAATAAATATTGAACGATGTGTTACGCGAGCCATGCTGCGTGTAGAAAGTCTGTTTGTCGCCCCTGCGTATTTCTGAGTTTCTCCTGAAGATCTGTACGGAATGTATTGTGAAAAAAACTAGTTTAGGAACTGTTTACAGTCCGACTGCGCAGACGCAAGATTTCTCGCGGAGTAGTAGTTA